GAGCAGCCACCATGTGTGAAAGAAAAAAATAGATGTCAAAACTGAGGTCCTCAACCAGTCAAACTCCCGAGATTCCAGATAGCTGGATCAACATTAGGTAATAGCCATAGGTAACAAGAATGAGACTAGGACAAATTACTAGAAAGTGTGAAAACACATATCTAGCTAAGCTCACAAAGAAGGTGGTCATGTCGATGTTGTCATAAGCTGTTTGTGTGGGTGGTGGTGCTCCATGGCTGTTGTTGCAACTCTTCGTTAATGGCTCTCCACAAAGAAGAGGGTTGTCCTTATAGCTTTTTTCTGTAAATGTTGCAAATTGTCCTTTCCTCTCCACAGTCCTTCCAGACAAGTTGTTGTGAGCCACAGAGGAATCTGATAGAAATTTTAGCTCAGTCATTTGTGGAGGGATCATACCACTCAAATTGTTGTAGGAAAGACCCAAGCTCTCTATTTTTGTCAAATGTGAAAACGTTTCTGGTATACTTCCACTGAAATAGTTATGAGATAGGTTTAGGGAACGGATACCACTTATTTCCTCAATTTCTGGAGGAATGTGGCCTGTTAATTGGTTGCATGAAAGATCAATTCCAGACATAAGCTTCTAAACTTCACCCGTATAAGATTCTAACCGGCCCTTTGTTCTAAACTGGACCTCTAGCTGCATCCTGATTAGCTCAATGTGGATGCCATCTTCATCCATTCCATATTTTGGTACCCGGCTTTCATAGAAATATGAAGCTGCAAAACTAAACCCCGCCAACGGGACTTCCCAATTTATTCTACCCAAGCTCTGTTCTCTCTCGAAGGTTATGTTAATCAAGAAACAAGGTATGGGACCAGAGAGAATATTGTGGGACAAGTCCATTATGCTCAGCCTCTTTAATTGGAACACCTGGATTGGAATTGTACCTCCAAATATATATATATATATATATATATTGTAATGATCTCTCTATTAATAAAATTCGTTTCTTGTTAAATGCCTGTGCAATTAATTTTTCTAACTGAAGCAATGGTTTACCCGACCTGTCGTGCTATCGGGTTAGATAACGAGTTAGGGCAATCCGAAGAAAATTTTCTAAGCATTGGCCACCCCAAACTGTCCTCAAGGGCTTAGTAGGGGTAACCTCACTAAAGCAATGGTTTCCCCGAACTGTCATGCTACCGGGCTATATAACAAGTTAGGGTAACCAAAGTGAGAATTCGTTAAAGCATTTATTACCCCGAACTACCTACTTGAGCTGTTAGTAGGGGCAACTTAAATAGTGGAGGCCGAGGTGAGTGACATTGTAGGGTATATACCTGACCTGTTTGCATGTGGGCTCCTCATTCAAATGCTTGTTGTCCCTAACGGGCTCAACCTGTTGACATATACCGAAGCGGGTTAGACGTTGTAGGGCTCACGCCCAAGCTGTCTGTGCTTTTGCCCCCCACTCCCGAGTTGAAAATAACTTGGTGAAGGGAGTAGATTTCTCCTTTTGGCCCATAATGAATAATTCGATGAGCTCGTAAACATCAATTCAATTCCTTAGGCTCTGGGAGCAACTCGCAGTCCACTCCTTGATCTTGCCCATATCGAAGAGGCGGCTGGGTCTTATATGATGGTGAGGTCTCCGCCAGTTTAATAATTTATCCCTTAGGCTCTGGAAGCGACTTGTAGTCCACTCCCCTCGATCTTTCCCATGCCGAAGAGGCAACAGGGGCTTATATGATGCTGAAGTCTTTTACTAGTTCGACACCCTTAGTCCTTCTAGGAGTGACTCGTTGTCCGCTCTCCAATTATGCGGTCATAGGTAATATCGCCTCAGATTGCTGATGTTCCATGCTCGAGGTACTTGTTTTCCTTCCAAGGTTTTGAGCTTGTATGTACCTTCCTTGAGCACCCGTTTTACTCAGTAGGGTCCTTCCTAATTCAGCCCGAGCTTACCGACACCGGGCTTAGGCACCATAACTTTGCGAAGGACCAGCTCTCCGATGCGAAAGTTTCGCTTCTTAACCCGAGTGTTATAGTACCGAGCCACTCTTTGCTGGTAGGCTACGGTCCGGATATATGCAAGGTCCCGTACTTCTTCCACTAGGTTAAGGTTGGTACATAGTCCGTCATCATTCACCTCTTCGTCGTATGCCTCCAGGCATAATGTAGACGCCTCGATCTTTGTTGGGACTACTACCTCCGTGCCATAGGTGAGATTGAAGGGGGTTTCACCTGTGGTAGTCTTCACGGTAGTTCGGTAGGCCCATAGTACACTGAGCAGCTCGTCTACTCATAGTCTCTTAGATCGGGCTAAGCGGGCTTTCAGTCCACGGAGTATGGCCCTGTTCGTGACTTCCGCCTGTCAATTTGCTTGAGGGTGCACCATCGAATTGAAATTCTGTTGCATCCCCATCTCGTTGCACCAATTCTGAAACTTGATATCTTTGAACTACTTACCATTGTCAGAGATGAGTACCCAAGGTAGTCCGAAATGGCATACTATATTCCTCCAAAAGAAGTTTTGTACACTTCGGGCCGTGATTATTGCTAAGGGTTCTGCCTCCACCCACTTTGTGAAGTAATCTATTGCTACCACCAGGAATTTCCTCTGTCCTGCTACTGGTGAGAATGGTTCAAGGATGTCGATTCCCCACTGTGTGAAAGGCCATGGGCTAGTAAGGTACTTCAGGTCGGCGGCAGGCTTGTGGTGGATGTTGGTGTACCTTTGACATTTATCGCACCTGTTGATGAGCTTGAGTGCGTCCGCATTCATTGTGGGCTAATAGTACCCCTATCGTAGTGCTTTTTGAGCGAAAGCCCTGCCCCCAAAGTGTGCGCCGCACAGTCCTTCATGAGTGTCATGGAGAACGAGCTCAGCCTTTGAGGGTCGCAAGCAACGCAAGTAGGGGAGTGTGTAGGATCTTCGGTATAGTCATCCGTCTATAATGACGTACTTGGCTGCCTGTCACTCTACCCTTCTGGTTGTGTTGCGATCTATAGGGAGGTTTCCATGAAGTAGGTAGCTCGCGAGTGGGTCAATCCAGCTCAACTCTATTTGTGCAACATAAGCTACCTTTTCTACCCCCCGAGAATGTTGGGCCGAGGTAGGTTCTCTATACACACAGTTCTCATGGTATTAGTGCTTGTGCTGACTAACCGGGATAAGGCATTAGCCTCAGCATTCTCGCACCTCGGAATTCGCTTGGTGAAGTATGACTAGAAGCTGCGTAGGATTTTCCTGACTTTGGCCAAATAACAGCCATGGTGGGGTTGTGAGCTTCATAGTCGCTGGTGACCTGGTTGACCATGAGCTAGGAGTCGCTACAGATGACAATGTGTTTTGCTTGCACCTCGTTCGCTAGAGCGAGCCTGGCTATCAATGCTTCATACTTTGCTTTGTTATTGGATGCCACGAACTCGAATTGAAGTGCGTATTCCAGCTTTACCCCGCTTGGTCCGTACAGAATAACTCCAACTCCGCTTCCTTGCTGATTACACGAGCCATCTACATGGAGGATCTAGGGCTCCTCGTCCCAGGTTGGGCTTGCTTTAACCAGGATTGGTGCTGCGCTGGTCAAAACTTTTTTTCTGTGCTCGGGCTCGATTAATTCAGGAATTGCAGTGCTGAAGGTGCATTCTGCAATGAAGTCGGCTAAGGCTTGAGCCTTAATCGCTGTTCGAGACTTGTACTAGATGTCATACTCACTGAGTTCGATGGCCCACTTTGTCAGTCTGCCCGAGACCTTAGGTTTGAGTAAGCCTTGTCTCAGAGGTTTATTGGTGAGGATGATGATAGTGTGTGCTTGGAAGTACGGTCGAAGCTTCTGAGCTGTGATGAGCAGTGCGTATGCTAGTTTCTTGATCTCTGGGTATCTTGTTTCTACGTCCTGCAAAACCTTACTGACAGATGGGTTGTTGAACCCGATCTACTTCCATTATTACAACCAAGCTGACAACCTCATCATTCACAGAGAGGTACAACTTCAAAACATCTTCCTCTTTGGGTCAAGTTAGAATTGGGATACTAGCTAAGTATTTTTTTAGCTCTTCAAAAGTGAGTTATCATTCTTCAGTCCATTCGAAGTCTTTACTTTTCTTCATTGCCTTGAAGAAGGGTAGGCAGGGTCTGTTGACTTGAACAGGAAGCGGCTTAGTGCGGCTATGCGGCCGTTTAGCCTCTGAACCTCTTTCAACTTACGAGGTGGCTCCATATCTAGGATGGCTTTTATTTTTTCAAAGTTGGCTTTGATGCCATGCTAGTTAACTATGTAACCCAAGAATTTGCTCGAGGTGACACTGAAGACACATTTGTTAGGGTTTAATTTCATATTGTATTTGTGTAAAATTTCAAAAACACATTGCTAGTCATTTGTCAAGCAATTTGAAAATCTGGTTTAGACGACCATGTCGTCTACATAGCATTCAACCTTGTTGCCAATCAATGGCTCAAAAATTCGGTTCACAAGTCTTTGGTAGGTTGCCCTAGCATTTTTCAGCCAAAAGGGCATGACCTTGTTATAGTATAGGTCTAATTCGGCAATGAAAGCCATTTTTTCTTCATTAGCAGGGTCTATCTTGATCTGATTGTAGCCCGAGTATACATACAGAAAACTCAACAACTCATGCCCTGAGGTCACGTCCACTAGACGGTCGATCTTAGGGAGCGGGAAACAATCCTTTGGACAATCTCGATTCAAGTTGATATAGTCGACGCACATGCACCATTTATCGTTGGCCTTTTTACCAAAATGGGGTTAGCTACCTAGCTCGGGTAATGGACCTCCCTGATGAAATCAGCTATGAGAAGTTTCCCGACCTCCTCGTTGACTATCCTCCAACGTTCTGGGGCAAGGTTGCATTTCTTCTGTCTAACAGGCTTGACTATGGAATCAATATTTAATTTGTGAGTTATTACCTTTGGGTCTATGCCAGGCATTTCGGCCACGGACCATGCAAATATTTCTAAATTTTTGAGTAAAAAACCTACCAACTGAGACTGAAGACGTTTCTCGATTACTGCCCCGATCTAGAGAGTTCTGGCCAGATCTTCTTTCAAGGTCAGGATGTGAATCGTCTCTTCGGTTGGCGTGGCTCGCTCCTCAGGATACTCCACAGGCCGCTCTAGCTTGACATCATCCGCCAACCTGGCTTTCTCTTTGAGGGCCACGATGTAGCATTTTCGAGACTTGAGCTGGTCACCCCATACTACCCCTACCCCGAAGTCCATGGGGAACTTCATGGCCAAATAGTAGGTAGACACCACTGCACGAAGTGCGTGGTTGATGGGCCGCCCTATGATGGCATTGTACGGGGAGGGAGTCGCGACCACCAAGAAGGTATGCTTAAACCTCGTGATGTTGGGCCACATGCCAACCTCCACAGGTACTGAAATTCGTCCGAGGGGCTTGACTTCTTCTCCGTTGAAGCCCACCAGAGGAGTACTCATGGGCTGGATGTTGCTTTCCCGGACCTGTAGCTTGTCAAAGGTGTCCTTGAACAAGATATTGGCCATGCTTCTTGAATCTACCAAGACGCGCCTAACCTCGAAGTCACTGATCTTCATCCTTATGACTAACGCGTCATCGTGGGGGGTACTGAATCCCACGCACATCATCCTCAGTGAAGAATATAGGATCTTTGGGCCACGGCCGCTTTGGAGGGTTCTATTCCTCCCATTCCAGTTCGCGGACTGCAGTCCTCCTTGCTACCGAAGAGTAGCCTGCAACAACTGACCCGTCGGTGATCATGTTGATTACCCCGCAGAATGGTCTTTCTTTAGGCAGCTACCTCTATTCGCTCTACCTGCTGCTGGACTCGGGAGCATCTCTCTTTTGCTCCCCCTACCGATCTGCTTAGTCCTTATTGTTTTTCTGTACAAAATTCTTCAAATATCCGCGACGGATGAGCTCTTCGATCTCGTCGTGGAGATTCATACAATTTTCGGTGCTATGACCGTGATCTCTATGAAAATGACAAAATACATTTTTATTCCTGGTGGTGGAGTCCCCTTTCAACCGGGGTGGCCACTTCACATACGAGGCATCCTTGATTGCCATGAGGATTTTCCCACGCTTTGCGTTGAGGGTGGTGTAGCTAGTCCTTTCGACTGGAGGAGTTTGGGAATGTCCCCTCGACCTATTTCCTCTCCTGGTCAGTGACTTACTTTTCCTTTGCTTGCTGTCCCCGTCATTCGGGGCATCACCTTCTTACCTCTTTTCGATTGGATTTTCATTTTTTCTGATTCATTTACTCCTCTGTCTTGATAAACTGGTTGGCGAGCTGGAGGAACTTGGTGATGGCCTTGTGCTTGTTGGCCACTACGTGCCATTTGAACTCTCTATGAGTAATGCCTCTCTGTCGCCATAAGACTTACAATAGGATCTAAGTCGGGGATTTGCAGGCAAGCGTCATTGAAGCGCTTAATATAGCTTCAAATTGACTCCCCCTCTCTCTGGACTATACTGAGGAGGCTTTCCTACAACCTCGGGCACTTCTTGCTAGTGATGAAGTGCGAGGTGAACATCTTCACGAACTGCGCCCACCCATTGATTGTTCCCGGCACGAGGTTTCTATACCACATGCAAGCTACCCCTTGAAGGTCGTGGCACATGCAAGACTCGTTATCCCCTGCTAAGTGCATCTAGGACTGGAAGGAGTCCACGTGATCGTTGGGGTCGAATGACCCGTCATACTTGTCCAAAGGGGGCATCTTAAAATCCTTTGGGATCGGGGTTGCCAGGAGGTCGAGGGATAGTGGAGACGACTCAGAAAGGAGTGGAGTCTTTGTAGCTCCCGAGCTTGCCTCTTCTTTAACTTTTGGTTGCTCGATCTGGTCGGGAGTAACGAGTTGGCTTGGAATTCCAGCTTGACGCATCCTGCAACGTTGCTTCTACTGCTTGGCCGGTTCCACATTAGTGCTGCTAGCTTCGGTGTGGTCAGCCCCGGTGTGGTTGTGAGGTAGCTCAGATTGTTGGCATTGGATGCTATGGATGGAGAAGCCTTGTTTGGAGTCTACAACCAGAACCCTAAATCGGTTCCTTGCAAACATGCTCTCCTGATGTGATGGCCTGGGCAAACGGCCCTCTTGGGCTGAGAGCTTCCCGATCTGTTCTCTGAAACAAGAGTCGCTTGCTTGTCACTCCTTCTGCGAGATGAGACTTGACTCCCAAGGGGGCATGGAACTTGGGGAGTTTGTCCCCGGTGAGGAGGGCAAGAGTTTTGACGAAGGGATCCACTTTGCTGTGGTTGCGGATTCTGAGGTAGTACCGGCTGCTGGCCCCACTACAATGAAGGGAACTGCTGCTAACACTGCAGCTGGTAAAAATGGTACATAACTTGCTGCTAGTAGTGTTGAAGTTGCTGGACTTGTTGCATCTGGGCTTGAATGGCCCGTATGCATTGTACCAAGTCATTTAGTTGGTTTTGTCCAACTGCGGGGGGAACCACAAAGGGTTTGATGAAGGTAGCACCCACCACAGGGGGAAGTGGGGCATTCACTGGCTCAGTAACTTGGGGTAGGTTCAATGTGGGAACCCCAAATGCATTGAGAGGCACGGTGAACTGACCAATACATACAGTGGGGACCTAAGGTTGCCCCCTAGAGATGTTCATTTCTCTATTTTTCCCAGCGTTGCTGGAAGATGCAATTGACACAATATTGGATGCTTAGCAGAAGGAGGCTTTTTGAAGCGTTTCCCATAGACTGTGCCAAATGATGGTGCACAATTTGACTACTCCTAGCTAGAGGTGACTTGGCTTTTAACTGATGACGGGCTTGATAGATCTACACAAGGATAATCAGAGAACCTGGGGGGTCCACCCGGTGAGGTCGCTTCGATGCTTAAATTAGTACTTGGTTGTGAGCTGATGAGAGGTTTAAGAAAGCAAGAGAGCTAGAAAGCAGAGATTATGCATACCTTCACCCCTGGGGGTTGGGGTCTTTATATGCTGGAGTTTGCACGAGTTTGGTGGAGTAGGTCCTAGATTTTCATTGTGATAGGATCCGTTACCATGTTAGTTAGGGGAAGCGTCTCCAACTGGTAAAGTTCCACATTCCCGCCTAAACCAGGGAGTGGGTGAGAAAAACTAGCCGTTATAGAACATGATCCCGTAAGATTAGGGGTACAGCGGTGGGGTCCTTGGAGTGACCCCGCGGTGGCCTGCACCACCTGAGCTCGCACTCATCAGACCCGACCTGATGCGAATACCAAAGTGCTTTAGTACCGAGGTACCCTTGTGCTGAGGTGGTCTGGCCCCGAGGTAGATCCCTCTTGAGGTGATCTAAGTGTACAGGCTTGGTTCATTGTAACTTGGCACGACTATACTTACTACGACCTGGTGCCGAGGTGATCCTAGTTCGGGGTGGTCTAAGCTAGGAGTTACTCCAGTTCGGGATAACAGGACACCCAGGATTGCTCTACGTCGATCTGACCATGCTGAGCTGTCACTTATGCCAAGTCATGTCCACGTGTCGGACTGATCATGCTGAGTTGTCACTTATGCCGAATCATGTCCATGTGTCCCCTTGTTACGAGGTTGGGCCAAATCTCCCTTCATCAGGAAGCATTAATTTCATCTATCTAGGATGCATCAACTCGACCACTTGTATCATTCTTAGGCATTACACGAGTTAGGGTCTTAGGTTTGAGTTACGCTAGTAGCACTTTTTTTTATTGAATTTGGCTTGTTGTCAAACTGAGGGTTGATACACTTCCATATCAGATTGTATCGGTCGATACTGCACGGTACACACTGATATGATAGTGTATCTTTCCAGTCATAGCGTATTCTGTGCCGGTATAACCTGATACTGATACAACTCCATATTGGTATAACGTATCAATATTTTAATCCTTGGTACTATGTAATCTTTCAAATATGTATACGAAATTATAATTTGTAGACCATTGTTTTAGTTGGTAGTGAAATCTCCATATTTCTTGATCCTAAATCTTATTGATTCCACACTCAAAGTCTTTTAATTAGCAGGCAATGTCACCTATAGGTAGGTTATATGTGGCCCAATCTGAATCAAAGAAAGATTGTAATCTAGTTCAATTTTTGAAGGCATTTGGTAAGAATACATTTGTACATTGAAAATGATAATAATTATGAATTCTAAGACATATTTGCATTCAAAATGAGGGAACGATTGCAACCTAAATTAGATGCAAACTTTGCACTCAAAATTGATCAATGTAAAACAAAAGTGATCAGTGTTTGTGCACTAATCACAATCGAAACCATTTTTTTAGAATGCAAAATCTATTAATACAAARTTAAACCAACTTTATATTTTCATGAAACATGCATATTTGTATTTGCATTTCTTACTATCACAAAGTAATCAGTCATGATAGCTATAAATATAATCCTAGCAAGTGCACTAGTTATCGAGTAGTATAAAAATATCGTTCCCACGATGATTTAACAAAATAAGTATTAGAACTACAGCTTTCCCTAATTATTTGGACAATCAAATTTTAGATTTAAGAGTAAAGGCTACTGAAAGACAGAAAAAGAAAACAAGAGCAAGAGTACCAATACTGAAGTATGCAACGATTGACTGAATTCGCTAGGATCTTTGGTCCGCCTAACCATTCCAATGAATAGTAATATATGAGATTATCCAAGATAATTTGTCATTCCCATAAGCTGAAGTTTTTCCAATTTTATTCAATATTTTTTCTCAAGATATATCAAAACTACTTTTATCAGGTAACCCCTCGATCTCACGACTAGAGTTCTCAAGATAGAAATGCATTAAGTTCAAAGAAAAACTATTACATTCAGATGAATCATGTGTATATACCCCTATATACCATTCAATTCACACCATGAATTATKTGGTCTGYTATATGAATTCCTCTCTCGATTCATTCACATAAACCTAATCAATTAAGAGATGGTCACTCCTAATAGCATTAAGCAAGATAACTCATAGACTATATGGAAATCACGATCTTGGAAAAATCAAAATAAAAATATATTCATTGTTATGATTAGGCTTTCCACAGCCCTAGCTACAAATAAATTAGTTCATACTAGAGGAAATAAAGCAAACAAGAGAAAGAAAGAACTCATGGTGCCGCCCTTGGAGCTGAGATTTCCCCTTCTTCTTGCCGCCACCTCCTTCTTGCGGTCTTCTTACTTGATAGATTGGTTGCTCCTCTGCTTCTTGATACCTCTCTAGTCTGCCCCCTGTCCCTTTATATAGCTTAAAGGGGAGGGGGTGGTCTCCAACTCCTTCTTGGAGTTTATCTTTCAAAAATAGAAAGTCCTAGTCTAATCCTACTCTTATCTCTTTATCTAGTGAACTCAATCTCTTTATCTTTCTAGGATTACATCATAAATTTAAATCTGGTAGGACTCTTCTCAGTTTTTGTTCTTGCATTCGTATTACGCTTCCTCTGCGAATTGGGCTGCTGCAAGGCTTTTCTACAAGTTGGGCTTCAGTTGCGAATTGGGCCTTCCTATGAATTTGCCCTGACTTCGGGCTCGGATTTGACTTCGATACATGCTGAATTTGCGAAATCCCAAAACATGAAAGTTGTATTTTCCTCTCTTATCTTTCCAGTGAGTCTTGAATCAGCCCAATCGGATATCGGATACGAGAGTTAGGCCCAGATTACTGAACAGTGGTGAAACTGTGAAAAATCATCCGATTTGCCTTGCTTTTCTCCTGATACCTTCTTTCATGCCCTGAACCAAAATACAAGAAATATGAGTCCAAATAAGTACTAATTCAGTATAAAAGTCTGAATATTTGGGGATAAAAATATGATAAATTTTATTCTCATCAAGTCACATGATTTCATTTCATATATTAGACTAAATGACATGATTTCTTTTTCTTTTAATTGGTTAAAACTTACTTTTAATATTCTTTTATTTATTAAAATATTATCTGTCAAAAAAAATTGAACCCTACATAAGGGAAAGCTTTTAATTGGTCAACAGATTGTTCAAATTAAGATTGATCCTAATGCCGATTCCCCCTTGGTGTGGCAGCTTCCGAATTTTGACTATTGGAAGATAAATACGGATGGGAGTGTTTTGAGTTCTTAATTGGTTAATTCCATTTCACCAAACCGAATTCTTATTTGGAGCAATGAAATAACACTTGGGGTCATGTATGTTACAGCGGGCTTCTTTCTTATTTATTGAATCGAAGTTTTGTCGACGGTCCAATAGACTTCCAAAAGCCTTGAAAGTTTGTGGTGTAATTATTTCTGTGTATTTCACACTTTGACTTATTGTATGGCTTTAGCGGGCCCATTTACATAGTGTTGTTATCAAATTGAAAGCCCAAACTACTAAAACAGGTTTATGATTGCATGATAGTTAGAGGTGTAAATCAGGTTAAATTGCCCGTGGCCTAGTATGGCCTGGCATAACTTGATATGGCACAATGACAAATGCACCATGTTAGATTCGGCATAGAGGTTCGTACAGTGTTGGGCTGGGGGTTCAAAATCCATGGACCGTCATGACATAGCAGGACAATACGTTGATAGCTTTTGGCGGGAAGTTCTTTTTGTGTGTAAGGGATATTCAAGTTGCTATGCTATGGTTTGGCCGCCTCCTTTGGGTAGTGCTCCATGAAGGTTAATTAATTTGGTAGCCGATGCTGCAAAAAGGTAGGGGTTGATAAAGAGTTTTTTGTCACCACAAGAACCCTACAAGACACTGATGCACAGAGATGCCTAACATTAAGTGCTCACAAGTGATTGAAATTACCTTGATGGTTTTTCAGAAAACACATAAAACAAAAAAATAACAAAGAATGTGAAACAATGAAAGAAAATCAACAAATTTTAGGGTTGGATGGGAATTCTAGGGAGTAGACTTAACCCATTCTTTCTTAATTGGTAATTGCAAGCGATAGAGAATTGAGGAATTTGAGGGTACGTAACGAACAAATCACATTCAAAGAGAATACGATCCGAGATGTATTGATGAATTCTGAATTTTCTTTTCTTTTGAGAAATCCCGACCTCTGGTTAATTTCATTTCACCAAACTGAATTCTTATTTGGAGCAATGAAATAATACTTTCTCAAAAAAAAAAGAAAAAAACTGAATATACAATTATTAATTAATAAGAAAAAGATAACAGTTTGTGGATATTGTCCGTAACAAAGTAGTAAGTAGAGGTAATACAAACATCAATTAGATAAAACCAAACTCGTCGCCAATAGGGGTTTATGTAGAAGACTGCCACCAAACCCAACAACACTGTTATATAAGAAGCTATAAAGCTTATAATAAAGGTGTCCATGTCCATGTCCATGTCATCAGGATCATCAGGAGCTATTTGCATAGATGGTGGTGCCTTGGAACTGTTTGTGCAATTATTCTTCTTTAAGGGTTCTCCACAAAGAAGAGGGTTGCCCTCATAGCTAGTTTCCCCGAATGTTGCAAATTGTCCTTTTCTCTCTGGAGTCCTTCCGGATAGGTTGTTATGAGCCACATTGAAATT